GGGACACTTGAGAAAGGTGTGCCGTACTACGTACTACCAGGACATATACGGAAAGCCCGTTCACTCTGCGATAGGAACTTCGCAAGGACGCCTCCAGGTCAAAGTGGCTGGCGACACCACACGTGGTGACAAGCTGGAGACGGCCAGCAAGATAATCGGGGCCGAGCGCACCCGATACGACAACAAGCGGACGAAGGACGCCGAGCGTCGGAAGAGAGCGTCAGCGGAAGCCACCGAGATGCGGACGAACGACGACGCGGAGGCCGTGCAGCCCTCCCGACACGAATGAATGAGGTTGAAGCAGTCTTACTCAAAATCGGACAGAGTATCGGAATAGCGGATGAGAGCCCTTTTCTGTAAGGGCCCAGGTACACAATACCCCGTTGCAGTTCTTCTTTGGCCTGTGCGCCAGGAGGGGATACGTCGACGAGTTAAGACTATCCGCCCCGAAGTACAGAGGTCAAGTACGAAGCACGGCTCGGCGTAGCAGGACGCCCGCACAAGTCCAAGGTGCGCCACTCGAACCCGAAATGCTGGAGGAGTTGAAGAAGCAGGTCGCCAAGCAACTGGAGCTCGGAGTCATCCGACCCTCCAAGAGCGAGTGGGCTGTTGCCCCTCACTTCGTAAAGAAGACCGGGGAATGGAGGTGCGTCACTGACTACCGCAGGAGCGGCCATGGTCGCAGACTCTTACCCCCTTCCTCGCATCCGGGACCACCTGCGACGGGCGGCCGGACAGAGATACTACTGCACTTTATAACTCCGATTGGCCCTTTCGAGTTCAACGTCATCCCATCCGGCATCTAAACTCGCCCGCCAGCGCGCAATGGATTCCTGCTTGGCACCACTGCTAGGAGAGAATGCGATCTGCTCCATTGACGACATCGTCATTTGCGGACAGGACTTCGACAGCGCACTGCAGCGGGTTGAGCTCTTTCTGGAAGAGTGGTTCACGCCAAGGTGGTTCGCGCCCAAATGGTCACTGCTCATGAAGGTGGTGGGCACGACTCGCACGCAGGAACACTTCCTGGACATGCTCCAAATTCTTTCTGGGATAGGAGGGGCATGAGCCGTCCAGGGACATAACGATCTCGGGGGAAATTTTAATACATATCTTGGTCGTATCTGGTTCCCACGACTAATGCCCACAAATGCCGAACCCAGGGCATCGTTGCCCCGGCCCCCCAACCCAGGGCATCGTTGCCCCGGCCCCCCAACCCACTCACCATGGTCTGCTCGCACACACGATCAATGTTGCAGCCTGATCCGCGCTATCTCAATCGGTCCATTTGGTCGCCATATAACTTGTGTGAAAGGCGGACTAGACATCGGTGATTCGAGTAATCTATACAGCCAGCGAGTGCTTCGAACTAGATGTCTGCTTTGATGCATATACTGTCAAAGGAGGTCCTATCTGCAAACATGTGCTCCCACGAACAGGGATACTCGCCCGGTGCAGGGTTCATAGACACTCCGGGTGTCGGTGATACCCGCAGCATTCGTGGCATTTTCGGGTACCCCGGGCGTTGGTGATGCAAACTGTACAAAGATGCACCGAGTTGTGCAGAGCGCGCGGAGTTGTGCAGACTGTATGATACAACAGTATGTGATATGCATTCAGTATGCTCCAGGCATTGGTGATACAAGATATCCCGAATTCACCTGCAATAGGTGGCCGCTGTGTATTTGCCGAGGTGGGACTAAGTAGCGTGGCTCATAGATACTCCGGGCAATGGTGACGCAGTGTTGGCCGTAACCATTGAGTAATATCGTCCCCTCAAGCCGGGAATCTCGCAGGCGACTCATAGATACTCCGGGCATCACCAACCCCTGGAGCAATTGTGATGTGATACTCCGGGCATTGGTGATACTCGGTGCCCCAGTTATCCGTAGCACGTAACACCCCGGGTACTCATGACACCCGGAATGAACCCCAGATCCAACATGAATTGTACGGATTGTCTACCGTTGCTCATTCCACGTATTGCACGCCGGGGGGGATCCTGCCTCACTCACGGACACTCTAGGTATCACCAATACCTGGAGCATTTGTGATACTCCGGGTGTTGGTGACATGTTCAGGACATCGGTGGTATGCGTCATGCCCCAGGTATTCGTGATGTCTGGAATATTCGTGATAACCGGCATTGGCCCGGGCCGGATTGTACAAACGGCCCAGAGCTAACTGGTGCCAACTGTCCGGAGTTAGCTGAACAAACGGGAAGCTAGAACTGAAGATAGTTGCATCCGTTGACGGGTAGTTGCACCCGTTGACGGGTAGTTGCATCCGCTGACGGGTACTCGTTTTGTATCTCGTTACGTGCGTGAGAGGCTGAGAGATCAACGTGAGATGTTCGCCATGAGATGATGGAGCACTCCCAAGACCGTTAACTATTATCGGTGAGAAGTTGGCATCGCGTTCCAACTGCGCCACAAGAACCCCCTTTTTGTCTTTCCGTCCCTCGCCTCGTTTCAGTCCTGAATTTATGGATACCGACGTCTCCCTGTTGCAGCCATGCAGATCTGTTATGTTTATGGCACCGGCTCAGATGGCCGCAACAGGGAGACGCTGATATCCATATGGCGTGGCTGGTTTGGGTATCGGTCACTTAGGGTGCCACACGGCAATCCACTAAATAAACTGAATGTGAACTCGGCGGCCTCATTGAGTTTGAATTTCCTCAGTTCGATTTGTTGACGGATGAGTACTTTGTGGAGACATTTGAGTCGGGTGTTGGGGAGAGTATGGATGAGCTGAACTGCATTGCGACTGAGCCTGAAGCTCCTACTTTCCATAATCTTGTTGGCCACTATTATGAAGTACGTTTGAACTTCGACCTGTTCGCAATGATTAAACAGATTTATGATGCCAAGCTCGCTCTTGATCCAGAAAGCGAGCGTAAGGAATATTACGACGATTGCCTGCGAGAAGGCGCCAACCTGGAGGATGAGAAAAAAACAGAGTTGGAGATTAATAAGAAAGTTGTCGAGCTAGATGATACAGAAGTCTCAGAGTGAGATAGTAAAGATTAGCGACGTGGCTAAGAAGCTAGATCTTGACCAACTTGCGAATGGCGGAATTGAAGCATGACACCACGAAGCTGGCTATTACGCTCGTGGACTACTACACCAAAACTAACAAGAATGGAGGTGCTTGGATGACGCTGTATAATGGCCAGAGTCGCCTTTTGCATCAGAAGCCATTCATTGGTTTGCAGCTGAACGTGTCTGTCTAAGCCCAAGCCTAAAGGATCGCCAGCTTTGATGAGTGAAAATAATGTAGAGGCCGCCTCCATGAGTTCGGTCACGGCTTGGATGATGTGAAATATCTGAGATTTGCTAGTCCTCGTCCCCCCGGGATTTCGTGGAGTCAACAGATTTTGAGGTACTGATGCCGGGCAAGTGTACTGATGCCGGGCAAGTTCCTCGAATGGGAAACCAACACCGTGAAGAAAGTAGGACTCTACGTTCATCAAATTCATCCGCGATATTACATAGGATATTTCAGCCATAC